AAAAAAAAAAGGAAAGCTACGATAATTAAACCATGGAAACAAAAGTATAAGAGGAGTACCGCAATATGAATGGAATCTTAAGTTTTGGCGGGACTTCATCGCCAAAAAAGGAAGCTTCTTCAGCCAACTTGAGTAAAACCCTGCGTAAAATTTCACCCAAATACATGCCGGAAGTCATCTTCTCAAATATCTGTGTGAACCAACAATGATAATCTTGTCAGACGTATCATCAGATATTATACAAGAACGAATCAAACAAAAAACTGTGAATATTAAGCATAGATGTTCATTCTCTACTTGCTCAAAGATGAGACCTTTAACATTACTACAAGTACAAGTCCGGTCATACTAGGAAGTTACGAAAACACAGACATATGTTTCTGTTTTACAAAATGCGACCCACTGATGGATAATTTGAAAACAAACACAAATCCTTTTGCGTAACCTTCATAATTATCTAAAAACATGCAATGGAGTTGAAAATTTGGAAAAAATGAAATAAGAAGATATGTGCATTTATATCCTACCTGTTCGCCAGGATTTACACTTTCAATATCCAATGCGTGGTCGTATTCAGTCAATGGAAGGTGTGAAGACCTGAAGTTGCCCCACTCCATGTTTATAACCTAAATTGAGTAACAATAGAGCCTTCAATAACTTTTTTTTTTTTTTTTTTTTTCATCTTTTGTAACTTTCTTTTACGATTGAAAAATAAAGCTAACCATTTCCCCAGATTTTGGCAAAGGACCATGCCACTTTGGAATAGCTTGTGCACGCTCGACATATGCTGCATTAGTCCCAGTACCCAATATTACGGCTACAGCCACATCATTGTTGTTATATCGTCCTCCAGCTAGTGTCCCAATTGTATCATTAACCTGCGCCATAAATCATCATGAACTTAAAATAACTAATATGTGGCCAAAAAGAGTAGTCGAGTTTATACATATTCAAGCATGAGGTTTCTCTTCCTTTTTCTGGGGTAGTTAATACATATTTCCCTTTGTTTTTCTATAAAATAATACACATTAAAGCACAACTTTTTAATGGTCGTGCATTAAGCCTAAGCTATGCTTTCTTCACTTTGCCCCTAGAGCCATCTCACGTATCATGCAGAGAAAATGCATAGTTCAAACCATCTTCAAAGATCAAATGTTGTGATTCAATAAATTGTACCAGATGGCTTCAACTTAATAGAATGTGAACAGCATAGGATAGTGTTGATTTGTTGACTAACTTCATAAAAATTCTTTTTAATGCACAATTGCAGACATTTCACGATATTTGTATAACCTGGCCAAAATCAAAGGTCTAGATAAGGAAATAAAACAATAGACTTAACAAATTACTTTCATTCGCAATGGGATTTTCTCTGTACTCTCAACTCCAACTCAACTGGTGGGTTAGAATGTGGTAGAGAATGCAAACGAGTTACATTTTTTTATACATGGGGGGGGCGCAACTGTGCATACAACATGCACGGGAATAGCCGCGTCAATTGCAACCTTCCTCCTGGTTGCGGGAAAAGCTTCCACACGTACAGCATTGTAGGCATTTATTGTGTAGAAATCATCATAACATTTTTCATCACGTTGCCATTCGAGGGTGAAAAATGAAAGTAAATTTGATTATGTGGCATACGTTTAACATGTTAGGAAATGAAATTAAGTTTAGGGGGCAATCCATAATTCGAAGGGTTTAGTGTTATTTAATTCTTACATAGTTCCAAAATTTAGCATTATTACAAATCAACAGTTTGTTTATCATAATTAGGCATACATTTTACATATGTTTTTTCTTTATTATTATTATAAAGTTCACCTTAGTGAAGGGTTAAATAGCATTCAATCATGTTCACATGCAAAAATCAAAATAAAATATTAAGTCATAGGTATGAATATTATACTCAATCATAAGCTACATATGAACATATCACATTAATAAATTTGAAAATCTATTCTTCTATACTACTTTAAAAGGAGGAGTGTTTTTGTAAAAATTCATAATGCCTAAAAAACCCTTACTTTGACATAAATTTAATAACAAATTAGTAATACACTAATACACATCATATTTTATTTATATTTTTAATTAAAAAATGAATTACCTAAAAAACCCTTACTTTCACATGTTTTTAATGACAAATTGGTAATATACTAATGCCATCATATCTTATATCCTCCCTATATATAATTAAAAAAAGCATAACTTTTCTCAATTCAACATAAGCAAATCAATGAAAATAATATATTTTTAAAAATTTTATGAACAAAAGTTGACTCGACAATATTATTAATGAATTTATGAATTGTAAATATTTAATTAAAATATTAATAAAATTTTTAATTAAATTTAATATAATATAGGATATACAAATATTTGATATATAATGAGGCAGATGATCGAAAAAATTCTATTCTTTATATTATGTCTTTTTTGACAAATCTACAGTTAAGAACATGTGAAAGAATAAGATAAAGTTTAAAAAAAATATTAAATATAAGAAATAATATGAATAATAACTAAGTTGTGACACATACTAATAAATATAAAACAAACTAATAAACAAAAATAATATAATTAATATAACTAAATATAAACCTTCTAAAAATATACTTATCGATGTAATCGAACTGAATTGTTAAACGCTTGTTAGTTTTTTGTTCTTATTAATTTTATGTGTAAATTTGAGGTGATAGACAATAGTTATTTGTACATTTATACATGTGGATTAGAAAAATAATTTTTATTATTCTAATTTAAATAACTTTTTTATTTACTATAATAGTTTTTAATATAATATATAAGTATGATATTGAACAGATAAAACAAGAAATATTTTTATTATATAATATTTAATATGTAAGAAATGTAACTCAATTGGCAAATTAATAGGTAATTTTGAGATAAAATAATGAGTGATTTCTGAAAAAAAAAATTATAGGAACAAAAAAGTTCACGTGGGTTAATATATTTTTAATAGAAAAATTGTAAACATAATTACTTAATAAATACTACATAAAAAATAATGTTTGAGAGGACTACAAAAATTTTGCTATACTACAATGAAAAATGTTAAGGTATTCTACTGAAAAATCCAACGAATATGTTGCTTTCATTGGCTATTCCAATAGGGTTCAAATTAAATTACATGAACTTTAGTGGATGTAAAGATTTCAATTACCTAAATTTCTATTTGAATTTATTTTTTGGACCATATTTCAATCGTTGAAAAAATTATCATTGGTATTATGCAAAAAATCAATAGAAGTTCCATTGAAAAGATAGTTGCAGTGATAGATCCAAAATAATTTCATATTGGGACCATTATTTAGTTAATAGAAAAAAATATACCATCAAAATAACATGTCATTGCAATTTATAAATTATATTTTAGATAATCTATCACCTTTCTCATTTGTAATACATTTTAATAAATCTATGCAATCACAATCAGGTAAAATATATTTAAGAAACGAAAAGTCAAGATTTTTCTAAAATCAACATAAGAAAATCGTTATATTTGTTGGAATTTTTGTTGGAATTTTTCTTTTTCTTGTAGTAAAACTAAAACTCCAAATCTATAAAAAAAAATGCATTATATATAATATTGTGTGCAACTATTATTATGAAAATTTTTGATACGATAGAAAATTTAACACAGTCAATGTAATTGGCGTTCAATTATGGTAAGAATTAATTTTTTTCAAAGGAAACAAAATACTTTGAAAGGTCCTTAATTATTTTATTTGTATTGTAATAACTAAATAAGGGGTAAGAAAGATGACAAAACTTATAACTCTCATTAAATCCAAAAGTAAAAATGCTGACAAAATTACTTAATGTACAATATCAATTGGAGCTGGCTAATGATAAATATAAAACATACTTAAGATACATATATATTTTAACTAGAACTTTTAAGTACATAATATATATATATATATATATATATATATTCATATGTACATTTCTTTAAAAGTGGGTATGTTAATCTTAAAATTTTTTAGTTAAGATTTTTATTACTTTCTATCATTAAATTTATATTTTCAAATACTTAATATTTTTTATTTGTTACCTTTTTATATGTAATATATCACATCATTTATTTTCAATATGTTTGAGCTGACCCATATATTGCAATAAAATAAAAATAATATAACTATTTATATTGATATAAAATAATATATATATATATATCAGTACTAATTTAAAATAATAAATTAGTCTTAAAGTATATAATATAATAAATTTTATATTCAAGTTAAATCAATTTTATTAAGTATAAAATAACATAAGATAAACTTGTGGTATGTTTTCCATACATAAATTTGAAACAATTCATATTAAAAAAAAAAAAGTAAAAAAATGGGTGTAAACTTCTAACTGTTCCCACGTTTTGGCTAGAGCGCCCAAATCCGATATATGTTTGAGACGAGTTTGTCGTAATGCTGAAACTATGGCAAATGCACCTTAGGGTACAAACGAAGCGAAGCAATGTGAAGTCATGGATAAAAGGAAAGGCTAGACCATAGAAAGGAAATGAAATAACATTAACTATGTGAAGTCAATTACTGCTGCAAAATGAACCCTATAATGGTGGTACCATATATGTATTCAGTGATTATGAAAATGACTTAGTTCATTAATATTTTATCAAACATTGGAAAAAATTCTAAAACTTTTTAATCTAATAATTCGTATAAAAAGTACAATTTTATCAAATATATTAAATTACATTTAATCTTATGTGATTATATTAATTGTAGCCTAATAAATAAGATAATTTGATACCATCATTATATAAAACACATACAAAAAATAACATAATACGTATAAATGTGCTTTAGTTACTTAACAAATAAAATATTATTTGTCTATAGAATAAGAAACAAATAATATAATAGTAATGCAATGAGAAAAAGAAACATGCTAATTTTCTTAGAAAAGTATGAATACCAATATTTACAAACAAAAAGTCTTATAAAATTACAAATTTTTTGTTGCTAGCGTTTAAATATATGGACTTTGTAAGAAATTGGTTCTCATAAATAATGATCATATATTATTTATTTTCAATTTTAAATAATTAAAAAATCTAAAGATTTGTATACATGATGTATATTTTAATCATGACTCCATAATAATAAACTTTACAAATGACTAAAAGTATCATCATATAATGAAATTCTAATTCTTCTGTTGTCAAATATTTTAACAAATGATATGCTTCTCAATATTTTCTCATTGTTTTGTTTTATCATTGCAAAAAATAGATTATATTGTTCGTCTATATTCTAGATAAATAACACCAAAATGAAATGTACGAGTATCAAAACAGTTTTGAATGTTAGAATTAAGTTGTCACTTTTTATAGAAATATTTATAATCTCATTGGTGTATTGTGCTTGAACATATGTGCAATTACTTTAGAAGTACTTTCAGGTAATGCATGATGATTTCAAAAAATAATTTAGCACCTCGGGAGAAGTACATGTAACCAAGATTTTAGAAAATCAACTTTTATTTGGACATAAAATTCATTCACACCTCGTGAGGCGATGCATCAATGGGGTAGACACCAATATATCTAGAGATATAGGAATGTAGTAGTTTATACAGTGATAAAAAATATCAGCAATTTTAGTGACACCGTTAGTTATTTCATATAGATATTTATCCTTTGTTAGTAGAAGTACATGAACTAATAATAGAGTATATACAAGATTACCTTGTTATAAAGATCATACAATCATGAAGTTTGACTAGGTCAGAATGTTTCTTAAGTGCTTGAATAAAATTGGCGTTTTGCCAAATTAATTAAGAAGAATTTTGCAATAGTATTGATATATTAGACTCCAACGACTATGAATGTTTTTATGAGAACGTTAAAACTGAAATGAAAGAAAATCTTTGTGTTTTTTATTAGGAATTTGTTTTTTATATATATATTTTTGTTGGGGTTTGTAAAACTTTATTTCACTATTTTTATATGAGGACATCATTATGTTAATTCTAAATAACAACAAAAATCACATATGAGTTCATTTTTCTATATTTTCCTTCATTTATGCAATGATATGTTTAACAAATAAATTAATTTATTTTACAAACTTACTCCGTGAAAATCATTCGACACCACGTGCATCGCACGTGCACTTTACTAGTTAGTTAAAATGAACGATATAATTATAAACTATTTTACCTTAAATATGAATCAATGTATAAATTGCATAAAATATAATGAAAATGTAATTTTACATATTCAAAGGGCCGTGACCAATTAGTTGAAAAATTATTAAATTGTTATTAATATTATAGCAATTGTTCACGTGATTTAAAGGGTTTTTTTTATGCCATTTTAAAAAAAAAAATAATAAGATAATATCCATTTTACAATAAACAGCTTGAAGAAAATCTTTTGCCCAAGATAATATATATATATATATATGTGTGTGTGTGTGTGTGTGTGTGTGTGAGTTGATTTGTAAGAAAAATAAAACCATTGTGGAGTTGCTTGTAATCTAGAAAGATAATTGATTTTTTTTTTTTTTGAATGATTTATTTATTCTTTGATGAAGCTAAAGATCGGATAGCTTTTGTAATTATCCCTAAGCTTTCGTCTCTTCAGTAGAAACTGAAGTAAAACTCACCAGAGCTGCGACCCGCATGTCAACATCCTTTCTTTTCAATGCCTTGGTTAGTTCACCTACCACATCTTGGCCAACCTACAACATTAACAAAAATCTAAGGAACACATGATGATTTTGGTGACTTCAAAATTCAAGAGCTGCAAATTAAGGATATTCCAGAACAAAGATAAACGTCACTTTCGTGTTTGACCATGCATCGAGTAAAAAGTGTGTTCATTCTGGCATGAAACATGAAACAACTTCCCTAGTAGAAAATTCCATGTGTATATGAATTCAAGAGAATATATACAAGCTAACGTGAAAATTATGCAACAAATGTAAAGGATTAAAGATAATCATGATGGTAAAAATGAATTCGGTAATTTTCTTAATGTTGGCTCTTGAAGATAAGAGAGTTTAAATATAAATCTTAGTGTTGGAAGAGATTTTTAAATGTAATAGGCACAATTTATTATGAAGATTTGCTTAGGAAATAATAGAACTTATCGTACATCTATTAGGACGGTCGCTTACACAATATTGACAGATCAACTTACCAAAACATTAAGATTTCAATTTAATCCTTCATTATTCTGACACTTAGAAAACATATTTACCCGACACAAGCACTAAAAATGAAGAGCATGAAAAAAAAAATACAAACAAAAACAAAAGTTTGTTACCTTATCGACAAATTGCACGGTATATACATCCAAAAAACATTTATATAGAATATTTAGTAAGTTGATGCCAAATTATACACAGCCAGTGAGGACAAAGTTTGAAATTTACCCAGTAATAGCATGAAAAGTCATTTACTTCTAGCCAACATGAAAGAGAAAATAGATATGGCAGATAGCATTCTAAGTATAAACAAATAAAAGATAAATAAAACTATAAAAGAACGAATGTTGATTAAGAGAAAATTATACCGTGCCATTAACATTGAAGCCCTTTGTCCACCTAATAAGAGTTCCAGAATTTATAGAAGTTTGCATCACGGGAAATGAAAAGGTGAAGCCTAACTCCCTCTGTCTTCCAGGAGGTTGATCGTGAAATATTTGTTCTTTTTCATTCACAAACTTTGCAAGTCTTTCCGCAATATAATCAAACAGTTCCTGTAATCATTTGAGCTTCAAAGTTCAGTGATCTTGAAAGA